ATCTGGTGGAGAGAGTTCTTGCAGCGTGAAAATAAGTGTTTGGGGCTTGGGAAAACGCAAAATGACTAACTGTTTCCATTGTAGTGACAAAAATGGACCACAGAGTTGGCAAACCGATCTGCTGATCGCATTTTTCGATTTAATTCTTACAATTGGAGGTGAAGAAAGGTGATTTTGACTTCACTTTGCTAGTAAAAGTTGTATGCCATGTTGATCCCATGGGTGTGGCGACTACGTGGTTATCGAAGTGGTGTTGCAAATCACTACCCACTTGAGGTACTCACCTCTGTGGATGTCAATTTGTAACACTGTGGAACCTCATATTTGTAGACAGGCCGACTGACAACACCAGCAGTCAAGGCAGAGGAGGTGATCTTGGATGGAACATTAGTGGAGTGTTGTTACCATCGGCTAACCGATCAAGTGAAGCCACACAGTGGCGAAGAGGCAACTTTAAATCCACGCCTCTGATGAACTGTAGATGGACAAACTTAATGCCGTCCCTAATGGGTTGTCAACTTTACATTCACCAAACCTCTGTCCACGGCAATGATGATAAACCTGAAGAGATCTGCACTTTGACAGGGACAGGGCCGTTCCTCTTAAAGCCAAACTCACGTACAATACTATCCATCCTTCTAATGTCAACCCTCACTTTCCGTATCCTCCTACTTAAGCTCCATCAATTGTCGAGAATTCCTTTTATTCACATTTGATGGCGAAACAATGAGGAGTTGAATGGGCTGAGGTCCCTGCGCGAAGGAACATCAAAGCGTGCCGGCGCGTCAGACCTTCCATCGTCGGCGCGACCCAAACCGATGGGGCACAGCTAAGACCTTCCAGGCCTCGCTGACACGCCTTCTTCCCCACTAACCCACCCATATAATGTCCTCTTTCATGCAACCAACGTTCCTCTCTACTCCACCTTTTCACTATCCGAAATAAGTTTACTGCATTATTAAATTGACCTGTAAATCTGATGGAGAAGGTAATGAAGGAGGACAAGTGGCAAATCCGCTGAAACACATTTGCCAGGACTTATGATTCTCCTCGTAAACACATCAAATCGAAGGATGTGAATGTTTAGCTTTTTCTCATCCAACCAATGTTGGTTGCTCCTTCGACTTGTGGGCGCTGCCTCGACCCACAATTCGACAAGTCGTCTAGGTAGTTGCTTCCATGTCAGCGATGTGACAAGAGTGTCAACAAACATGGTCAAGCGTAGACTCCACATGGAGATAGTCAAGAAGTAAACATCAGACAGCTAAAAGCAGACATCTGTTGAGAGGTGAAAAGACACGGCGACGCAACTTCATGCATTTTTTTGTCTACGATAGGTGTCAGAGAGTTTGAAAGCGAAGATATTTCGGCCACGGAGGACAGTACATTCACATCCGTAAACCAAACATGTGAAAGAGTCGTCTGAAATGGAAAGGACGTGGAGAGAGAAATTTGTCACAGAGGTTGACATTTGAATACACTGGAGTGAGTAGTAGCGAGGACTGAGACTTTGGCACCGTCTCCCGTCTTTGCGACTTTCTTTCATTCTCTTCTACTTTCTTCTCATCCACAAAGCACCTCGCATTTAATTCGTACTCGATGTGCAAGAATGTTGCCATCGTAAAATCGCCAACCCTCGAAGAAGACGCGTTACACGACTTTCTCCGAATTGCAGCATCGCAACCAAACGTCTCACATGCAATCCGATGTGTACCATCAGAGCTCTAACAATGACGCTCCTTGTGGTGCTTCCTTTTTGTGCTCCATTCCAACTCTTCGGAGTGACACCCTCATCACCTCCACAATACAACATCTGCTCGGTGTCCGAGCTAATTTAAATGTTTACAGCATTTTTCGCGATGCTCACTTCAGCCGTGTGGTGTGGGAGTTGAAATGCAAAACCAACGCGCTGTCAACGTCGGCTTCATTGCGATGCTCTTTTGATGAGGCCAAAAGAGTGGTGTGAGGGCACTCTTAGGGGAAAGCGAGCCCAACCACCGGTGGGTAAAGCTTCATCCTCGTGAGGCAAACTTCATAGACTTGAAACAGCGATTTTTTTGTGATAAGACAAACTGTCATTACAACCATTTCTAATTTAGCGTTTTTCGAACTACGTTTGGTGCTTTGCACACCTTCCTTTAAAGGCTTTAAGGGTGGAAACTGAGGGACACAGGGGAGTGTTATATCGAGTGAGTTTATTGCCTTTTTACTCTTCCATCTTCTTTGTTGTATAGTCGGAGAGCAGTGGCCTCGTCCATTCCTGCCTTTCTCCAGGCTAGTGAATACAATTATTGTCTGGTGACGTCGATGCTATCGCGAATGCTCCAAGTGGAGTGTCAGTGTGTGCACCTCTTTGACGGGCATTTGTCAGTGCAACCGCATACTTGTCGACATCGCAGCATGGCGGAATCGAAGGGCCTTCAATAGTGCTTCATTGAGCAGTGGATGTTGGGCGACACCACAGTCTTGAAGGAACTCACAACAAACTAAAAAAAAAAAAACAAACTCGATGAGTAGTTTCAAACACATGCCACGTCACACGTTTCCTACACACTTGCTGCTTCATACCTCTTCGTGAAGTAGACGCCTAAGTCCAAAAAATCTCGGTATGATTTGGCTAGTGAAAT